AAAGAATACTGACAACATACACACACAACCCCCGAGAGTTGAAAAACCACATCAAGTCTTAAATTGTAGCCTTGTTCTTTGAGTTAATACTACTTTTATTTCCAGAAAATATTTCCAGGGGAAATAAAAGTAGTATTAACTCAAAGGCATTAGTGCCATTTTAGAATAGAAAAAAAATGAGCCACGTGGTGGTGGCTGCGCATACCTTTTATTCCTAGCACTCAGGAGGCAGAGGCAAGCAGCTAGCTAGCTGTGAGTTCGAGGCCAGCCTGGTCTACATTGTGAGTATCAAGACAGCAGGACTGTTCTATGGAGAAAGTCTGTCTTGAAAAACTAAACCAAACCAAACCCAAAACAAACAAAACGGTTGCAGAGGGAGGAGTGATGAGCAAAAGGTCTCAAGACCAGGCTGGAGAAACCCACAGAAACATCTGAGCTGAACAAGGGGGAGCTTATGAATCCCAGACTGGTGGCTGAGAAAACCAGCATAGGACTGATCCAGACCCCCTGAACATGGGTGTCATCAACGATCTATGGGGCCTCTGGTAGTAGATCAGTATTTATCCCTAGTACACAAATGGACTTTGGGAGCCCACTCTACATAGAGGGATACTCTCTCCCAGCCTAGACACACGGGAGAGGGCCTAGGCCCTGCTCCAAATGATATGACAGACTGAAGATTCCCCATGGAAGGCCTCACCCTCCCTGGGGAGCAGAAAGGAGATGACATAGGGAGTCAGTAGGGGGCAGGGGAGGAGGGGAGGAAGAGAGAACTGGGATTGATATGTAAACCAAGCTTGTTTCTAATTTAAATTAAAGTATCAAATAGAAAGGAAAAAAACAGGAATAATAAAACAAACCCACCCTGCAACAGCTTAAATAATACAATGTGACTCTGTGGGATTGGTGCTATAATTTCTCTGATTACAAAATAGCTAAATTTTGCCATTTGAATAACGTATTAAGTATATATCTTTTTTTTTCTTTTTTTTTTTTTTGTTTTTTCAAGACAGGGTTTCTCTGTGGCTTTTGGTGGCTGTCCTGGAACTCGCTTGGTAGACCAGGCTGGTCTCGAACTCACAGAGATCCGCCTGCCTTTGCCTCCCGAGTGCTGGGATTAAAAAAGGTGTGCGCCACCAACGCCCGGCTTATATCTTTTAAAAGACTTTCATGCTATCTTTCATGCACTTTGGAAAATATTAGGTAATAAAATTCTATGATTTGAATTTAATGACCCGGTCTATGTGGGCACACAATTTCTATAGTCATGTTAGTAAGGCTTACATTTCCTCATTACCAATTCTCTCCATCCTCATTTTTCAACTCCCACCCAGACAAGCAGATGCTTTTCTTTCTTTTCTAGTTAGCATACAAAATGAGTCTTACTGTGACATTCTCACATCAGTATCATGTTTTGTTCTCATTTGCTCCCCTCCTTAGCCCACCCGCATCCCCTTCCTTAATCTCTTTCCTCTCTGATGGTTTGAGTTGGAAATATCCCCTCCCCTCCCCCAACCTATGGGATCAAGTATTTGAGCACTTGGTCCCCACGGGGTGGCACTACTTGATGGAAGTTACTGACCCTGTAGGAGGAGATGTACAGCCTTGCTGAAGGAGGGGAGACGCTGAGAGTTTATGTCCTCTTCTGTGTGGTGAAATGTTACTTCTCACTTCCCACTCCAGCTGCCTGCTGCCATGCCTTCCCTGCCACAAGGGACTCTGGAACCTAAGCCCCAATAAACTTTTCTTCCTTGTTTTGGGTCATGGTGTTTTATCACAGCAACAGAAAATAACTAAAATGACCCTTTATATACCATACTCTTTTATATGATCACCACCTTTCAAGAAGCCGAAAGGGGGGCCTGGAGAGATGGCCTAGTGGTTAAAAGCACTGACTGCTCTTTTTCAGAGAATCTGAGTTCAATTGCCAGCAACCGCGTGGTGGTTCACAACCACCCATAATGAGATCTGGCGCCCTCTTCTGGCCTACGGGTGTACACGCAGGTAGAACACTATATTTTTTTTAAAAAGCAGAAAGGTATATCATTTGGTGCATCTGAAACTAATACACACTCATGATCTAAACATTTAGTTTGAATGTATTTTATACCAGGGTAAAATCTGTGGGGTTAGCAAGATGACGTACCACCATGCCAGATGACTTGAGCTTGAAACCTGGGATCCACATAGTAGGAGAGAAGCAACTATCAAATGTTATCCTCTGACCTCCATTGGGATGCCATGGCACACACTCCCACATACATGCAAAGTAAATTAATGCTAATTTGTACAGACAATAGTCTGCTTTTAGTGATTTTTTTTTGTTTGTTTTTGTTTTTTTTTTGTTTTTGTTTTTTTTTTTTTTGGTTTTTCGAGACAGGGTTTCTCTGTGGCTTTGGAGGCTGTCCTGGAACTAGCTCTTGTAGACCAGGCTGGCCTTGAACTCACAGAGATCCGCCTGCCTCTGCCTCCTAAGTGCTGGGATTAAAGGCGTGCACCACCAACGCCCGGCCTAGTGATTGCTTTTAACAGTCAATCTGGTGAAAGACTTGACCAATTTACACTAAATATATAAATTATGTAGCTCTTATTGTAGGATTTGAAGCGTCTGAGTTGGTAAACATAGGGTATGCATGTCTATGTGCGTGCACACACGTGTGTGCATGTGTGTACACACTGAGAAACATTTCAGCCTTTCTTTGCATCAGTAGACACTGATTTCAGGTTGCACGATCGGGAACACACAAACTGTTAGTGAAAACACTGGAGCTTCTGGGTGGTACTTCATGGTTCCTATTATGATTTTTCCTCAGGTCACTGGCGTTTGAATGTGGCATAGTAAAATCACAAAGTGGGAAAATAGGATCTGCTCTTAATTCAAAATTTTAGAGGCCGCCGGGCGGTGGTGGCGCATGCCTTTAATCCCAGCACTTGGGAGGCAGAGGCAGGTAGGTCTCAATGAGTTCGAGGCCGGGCTGTCTCGGAAAACCATAAATAAATAAATAAATAAAATAAAATTTAAAGGTCACATATTTGGTGTCATCGTCCCCATCAGATATTTTACTCAGACCCCAGCACAATGACGATGTGTGACCAGCGCTGTGACGTGTGACCAGCACTGTGACGTCTGACCGACACCGAACAATTAAGGAGGAAAAGTCAGATGAAATGAATCTTATGAATGACTTGTAGTTCTACCCTGAAGATCTAGACCTTTCTCAAACATAACTAAAATTTTATTAGACTTTTATTCAAATGTGTTTGTTTAAAAAAAAAAAGCCTTATGGTGTATGCCTTTAATTCCAGCATTCCAGGAGGCAGAGGCAGGCAGATCTCTGAGTTCCAGGCCAGCCTGGTCTACAGAGTGAGTTCCAGGACAGCCAGAAGTTATACAGAGAAACCTTGTTTCATAACAAAACAAAACAAAAAACCCCTGGATTTTAAATCTTTAATTTTGGGGGGGGGGGCAGAGGCAGGGAGAGAGACAGAATGTGTGTGTGCCTCTGCACCATGGCATGTGTATGAAGAATGTGTGTGAACATGCACCATGGCGTGTGTGGAGAATGTGGGTGAACATGCACCATGGCACATGGGTGGAGAATTATGAACATGCACCAGGGCATGTGTGTGGAGAATGTGTGTGAGCCTCTGTGCCATGGCATGTGGGTGGAGGTCTGATGACAACTTTGTGAGCCCATTCTCTAGATTCCAGAGATAGAACTCACAGTCCAGATTTGCAATCTTTCTGGACATCTTAAATGTTTGCTGTGAATTACACAATTCAGTTATTTTAAGTTTATTCATGGCAGTGTGAAACTATGAGCAAAATGAGTATTTTATTGCGCCCCCCCATATCAAGTTACCATTTCAGTTAGCTGTCCTCTTCATCCTTTTAACACAAATTCCTGATGTACTTTGTTTCTATAGTTTTGCCTGTTCTGGACATTTTGTATAAATAGTATCTTAATAGGTTGTCTTTTGAATGACTCCTTTCTCTTAGTGTAATATATTCCTATTGTTGCAACACTGTATCTAATGAAACTTTCTACATTCTTTATTGTACTTAAGAAGTATTTTGATGTGTAAATGTGCAAGCTTTTTTTTTTTTCAATCTGTTTACTGGTTGGTGGACATGGGTTCCGTTCCACCCTTAGTCTTCAGCTGTCATAGATGATGCTTTCGTTAAGATCACTTGCATTTGTTTTTTACTGTGTCCGGAGGGTGAGGCAGGGCCAGGTCAGAGGTTGGGGCTTCAGCATCTCTTCTCAGAAGGGTAGCAGTTCTGGTGGATAAGTTCTCCCTCATTACTTAACCTTTTTCATCCCCTTAAAGACCTCAACTCCAAACTCAGTATCCAGTATAGTTGAATGTTAAGGGACAAGATTGGCGTCAATGTATCAGTTTATTTGGAAGCCTTATACAGTTCAGCGTGCAGTGACTTTGTTCTCACAGAGGCTGCTTCTACACTTGAACTGCAAAAGGCACATGTCTAAGATAGGAATGAAACAGAAAATAGAAATACAAATTCCTGGAGTCTCTTTCCACTCATGTGTAAGATCTGGATGGTCTCTCTGGTGATCATTGTCCTTAATGCAGGGTAGGGGCCCCTTTGATGATGGAAGGGACATTCATGAATTATGCTGGGAAGTGGACATAAATCGGAACTGCTGAAGGAAATTAGGATGAATGCTTTCACAGTTGACCAGCAAGAAGGAAAGGGTGTGACAGACCTAGTTCCCTCCCTCTGGAGAGTCGCTGGGAGCCGGGAAGGCAGATGTCTCTGTGACTTCAGTCACAGGGCCTTCTGTGTTCCCATATCAGCATGCCCCATTCCTTGACACACAGGAAAGTGTCTTTGAAAGATAATGGTAGGTTAGCCAATGATGGTGGGAATTCCTGCCTTCACAGTTATGGGCTGTTGGTGTGAAAACAGTGGTCTAAATTAATGATCTGTAAATTTTTCTAACATTTATTTGAGTTCAATGTTTCGTTTCTTCCAGGGAACAACAAATCATTTAACTTCAATGCATCCAAGACTGTCATCCTGGAACTGGGCTGGAAAGTGATAGGGAAGGATCTAGACCATTTATTCACTCACTCTCAGATTTAAAAGGATGCAAAGAGAATATAAAATGGCAGAAGTTTAAAGTTAATATTCAGGATGAATGATGATAGGTCAGATAAGACAGAAGATGGATTGCATTATATGTTTATCAGTGATAAAAACAGGAATACATCTGAGTACAACACAAGGTCACCATCCACACAGTCCCCTTCAACAGGTCATGGGGATTGGACCACTGCTAACCCGGATGACATGGTGGTGGACTATGTAATGGATCCTACTGTGGAGAGCAATGGAAGTGTTTCTTTAAGCCATCAGCGTGTTGAGACTTCAAGTGATTTCATTAGTGAGCCGGGGTTTGAAATGCGTAGTCAGTCTTCTACACTCAGTACAGCGAAGCCCCCAAACCTGCACAGCAGTTTGGATTCCCTACAGGCACACCTGGATGAGAGATCTGAGCCCTCTCCACCCTGCATGCACAAGTCTGATGATGATTTCAATTGTGTAGACTCCTCTGCAGCTTTGGAGCTAAAACAGACATCGGACATGAAAGTGGACTCAATTAACTGTAACTTTATAGCACACCAATCTATTGACCAGGGTCAGCCTTTACATCCTCCTGGAGGTCTGCAGCCAACGGGTGTGAGAGGTGGAAATACATTGTCCTGCTCCACATGGACATCACCCTATTCCACCAAGACGTATGTGAGAGGAATTCATTATAATAGAGACCGCTTTGAAAACCTTCAATCCCCACCCTCAGAGGCTCTGAACACAACATACACAGTATGTTCTGATGTGCCCATGCAGACCGATGGTGCAGACATTGGAATTCAGTGTCAGTATTCTTTAGGAAATGTCACCAAAGCATACACTGATGGGACAGAGCAAGGACTCGTTGGAGAGAGAGAGATACAAACTGTGACACCAGTTTCTGGTGGCATGGAGGTTCCCAATGGGTCTGTATTACAGGAGTTCTATTGTGTATCTGAAGATGAACCAAACAATGAGACACATTCACATGGCTCATATGGTCAACAGGAAATGGGCCAAAATCTAAGAGAAACACTGTCCCACTGTCGTGTTGATGATGAATGCCCTTTACCCGTGCCAGCTTTTGATGAAAGTAAAACCAGAGTCCTGGACTCTGGGTGTAAAGTCACTATGACTGAAGACCCACACGTTGCCTCTCATGACGACAACTCAGAAGTCCAAAACAGTCCTGGAGAGCTGACCCTGAGAGGTGTCCCAGGGCAGAGGTTTTCCTTGTATGAAATAGCTTGTGATGGTAGAGCCGTTAGCACAAACAATACAGCGCTCACGTCAACATCAACACCAGTTCAGCAAACCCCCGATATAAGCCTTACCCTTTCACCTGTTGAGAAAACAGAGACGTGCAATCATGTGGAGAATGGTCCAAGAGATGCTAAAAATGCACCAAACCTGAAAGGTGCACCAGTGAATATGTCAAAGCCTAATCTGGGAAAATCAGTTACCAAAACAAATGCCCCCATAGGCAGTAAAGTTAGGAAAACAGAAATCATAAGTTATCCAAGACCAAACTTCAAGAACATTAAAGCCAAAGTTATATCTAGATCAGTGTTGCAACCCAAAGACCCTTCTCTACCAAAGGGCACGCCCAAACCTCCGAGTACTGGGGTCTCCTCAGCCCCACCAGTGCCTTCTAAACAGTTGACAGTTGCGAGCAAAACAGCAAGATCTGACTTTAATGCAGACAAAAAAGCGGAGCTCCTAATTAGCAAGACAGACAAGCAACAGTTTAATAAACTCATTACCGGCCAGGCTGTGCATGTTACAACTCATTCTAAAAACGCTTCGCTCAGGCTTCCAAGAACAACATCTGCCACGAAATCGAATCGGGAGGATGTTGACAAGACAGGTTCCTCTCATGCAGCGGGTGAGACTGGGTCTGTAGCTGCGTTTTTCCAGAAGATCAAAGGCATCCTCCCAGTTAAAATGAAAAGTTCCGAGTGTTTGGAAGTAACGTATGCTTCCCACATCGATCAGATTAGCCCTGAAAAGGGTGAGAGGGTCAGTGGTTCTCCAATGGAAAAGCAAGAGCTGGAAAAGCCAGACATGAACGAGACATTTGAATGCAAGTCCCTGTTTGTGGTAAGTGAAAGCTGTTGTCTGCTTCTAGGAATGGGGGAGAAAGCTGCTGTATTTTGCAATTCGTTACCCAGTAATCGATAATAATGCCACTGAACTCGGCTCATCATTTGTATCCAGGTATTCTTTGTCTAGTGGAGTGTTGATGAGTCAAAATACAATGAACTTTTGCATAGTGAAAAACTTAGTTTCAGTAGTTTCTTGAACACGGGTGTTCCTTTTTGATAGTGTTTTAAAAGAGTGTTAATATCTTAGTTATTTAAAGTGAAATAACTGACATCAGGTTACATATAGTTTTTCTTAAAAAGCAAATGGGGGGTTATAAGCATGCAAGCCACATTTAAGAAATGGCTAGGCATTGCTGGTAAATGGATCAGCATGAAAATCGCTCCAGGTGTCTTGTTGGAGAAAATAGTCCTGGAGGCAGAGCCTGTTCTCACAGATTTGTGAGTCTACTTGAACCAGATGTGTGACTCATTCTGGTAGCTTTGTAACAGCTAGAAGGGAAAGGATTTGGGTAGTGGGTGTTGAAGGTCGCCTGCAGGACGTTTGCATTGGTTTCTAATGCATGAGAGAAACAAATCCATACATAGTAGATAACGCAGTATGTCTTCAATGGCACCTGCCAAATCCTGAGGCGGACTAGATCATTATTTAAAAACTCGAAGCATTATGTGCAATTCAAAGGTTATTTTTCTTTAAACATGCACATGTTTTGGGACAAAAGTATGACCAAACTAGTTTTCAAAACATTAGCCAGGCTGCTGTTGTGTGTGTGTCCTTAGTTCTATTTTTGGCAGTTGGAGACTTAGGTGTATTTTCAGCCCCACACAGACCGTCCTTGAAATGCTTGTCCTCTGGACGGGAACGGATCTGCATGCAGAGGAGGAAGATAGACGTCTTTGGGGACTCTTGCGTAGGAGGAATGAAATACAGCACAGTTAAGTACATGAGTTTAGTTTGCTCCAGGTTCCTTACCAGCTAACGCAGGGAATGTCAAGATGATAAACACTGGAGATACTCTTGACCTGGGTCAGCTTACAAATGTTTGGCTTTATCAATAACTCTGCTGGTAAGGATGGAATGCCACAGAGGTCTCTAAACCAATGGGCTACTGTATTGTTTCAGGACACAGATTATTCGTTTTTTTATGTCTAATTGAGAAAACTCTGATCATTTATAACTTAAATATACCAAATAAGACTACAATAGATTCCCAATTATAATCAGTAGTCTTAGATGGGTGTTTATGGATATTCATAGAACTAAGATATTTTTCCTTCATTTATGGAGAATTTGGTCATCAACATGTAGCCGGCATGAGTTTGAATTCGGCAAATTTAGCATGCCATAGCTCAGGCTTGCCTTGAATTTGAGATCTTGCTTAGCAGCCTTAATGCTAAGATTAGTTATGAACCAGCATGCCTTGCTATATGAGAGACATTTACTGACTTGTGGACCCCCAGGACCAGAAAAACTTGCATAAAGTTTGTTGAACATTGGTCTTGAATGTAAATTGCTTGTGTAGTTCTAAAACTGGAGAGTTTGGGCTCTGTCTTCCCAGTCTGGTAGCTGCAGGCCCATGATGTGGTATGGAGGTGGGGCCATGGAGTCATCATCAGGTGAGGTGGGGGCCAGCCGTTTGCACCTTAGCGATGTAGCAGTGATGCTAGAGTTAGCCGTGAAGTGCTTGTCAGGCTGGAAGGGCTGTCTCACAGTCTCATCACTAGGGCTTTCACTTATCTGCTAGAATAAAGAACTATGCTTCTGTGACCTTGTCTTACATACAGTAGCGCCCTCCAGTTTGTCTGATTCAACTCTCACACATTTCTAGCTTTAGGAAAAGGAGGTGTGAAGAGCCTGGATGACCATCCTAGCCCCAGGCTGTGGCTTATTGTAGAATGCTAAACAGGTGAACTCACGTGGCTTTTTTTTTTTTCTGTTAGTCACTTTCAGTACCCAAGGGCTGTATCTGCCATAGAAGCATGGTGGGTTTTTGTTTGTCTGCTTGTTTTCTGTACTCTTGTTGGTCTTAGTCTCCAGCTAAATCAATTTATTAAAGGCTGCCTACCACCGTATGACTGTTTGGTGATCTGGGTTCACCAAAGGGGTGGGGCTTTTTTGGGAGGGGGGAGTGATTAGATTTAGACTGCTGAAGAGGGTTGAAAGTAGTTGCCCGTTGCAGAGGTTATGTGTTCAAGGTAGCATGTTAAAGGGAGCTGTTACATAAATGGAGTGATGGGCTCAGGTGCCTTTCTTTTTTTTCTTTTAAATTAATTATTTTTAAGTTTAAAATTAAATTAGAAACAAGGTTGCTTCACATATCAATCCCAGGTCCCTCTCCTTTTCCCTCCCCTCCTCCCACGCCCTTCCTCCATCTCCCCTCTAATATCCCTTCGTTTCCCCAGGGAGGGTGAGGCCCTCCATGGGGTTGTCCATAGTCTGTCATTTCATCCAGGGCAGGACCTAGAACCCCCCCCCCCCCCCCCGCAGAGTCCAGGGTGAGAGTGCATCTCTCATTGTGGGATGGGCACCCAAAGTCCGTTTGTATGCCAGGGATAAATACTGATCTACTACCTAAGGCCCCATAGATTACCTAGGTCTCCTCACTGACACCCACATTCAGGGGTTCCTGATCAATCCCATGCTGGATTCCCAGGCATCAGTCTGGGATTCAAGAGCTAACCCTTGTCAGGTCAGCTGTTTCTGGGGGTTAAACCAGCCCAGTCTTAACCCCTTTGGTCATCAGTCCTCCCTCTCTGTCACTGGGTTCCTTGAGTTCATCTTAGTGTTTAGCTGTGGGAGTCTGCCTCTGCTTCCATCAGCCATTGGATGAGTTCTGTTTCCCAGACTCTCTGGCCTATGGGATTGTAGGCTGGCATTTCCCAGATCCATATGAGTGAGTATGTTTGTCTTTTTGTGACTGGGTTACCTCACTCAGGATGGTTTCTTCTAGTGCTATCCATTTGCCTGCAAATTTCAGGTTTCCATTGTTTTTTTTCTGCTGAATAGTACTCCATTGTGTAAATGTACCACATTTTCTCTATCCACTCTTCAGTTGAGGGGCATCTAGGTTGCTTCCAGGTTCTGGCGATTATAAATAATACTGCTATGAACATAGTGGAACGGATGTCCTTGTTGTATGAATGTGCATCTTTTGGATGTATGCCTAAGAGTGGAATTGCTGGGTCTTGTGGTAGATTGATTCCCATTTTCCTGAGGAATCTCCATACTGATTTCCAAAGTGGCTGTATGAGTTGGTACCCCCACCAGCAGTGTAGGAGTGTTCCCCCTTCTCCACATCCTCTCCAGCATAAACTGTCATTGGTGTTTTTGATTTTAGCCATTCTGACAGGAGTAAGATGGTATCTCAGTTGTTTTGATTTGCATTTCCCTGATGGTTAGGGATGTTGAGCACTTTCTCAAGTGCCCCTCAGCTATTTTAGTCTCCTATTGAGAATTCTCTATTTAGTTCTATAGCCCACTTTTTAATTGCATTCTTTGGTGTTTTGGAGACTTGCTTCTTGAGTTCTTTGTAAATTTTGGAGATTATTCTTCTGTCAGATGTGGGGTCAGTGAATATCTTTTCCCATTCTGTGCGCTGTCTTTCTGTCTTGCTGACTGTGTCCTTTGCCTTACAGAAGCTTCTCAGTTTCAGGAGGTCTCATGTACTAATTCTTGACCTCACTGTTTGTGTTACTGGTGTTACGTTCAGGAAACAGTTTCCTGTACCAATTTGTTCAAGGGTACCACCCACTTTCTCTTCTAAGAAGTTCACTGTGGTTGAATTTATGTTGAGGTCTTTGATCCATTTGGACTTAAGTTTTGTGCATGGCGATAAACATGGATCAATCTGCAGTCTTGTATATACCAGCATCTAGTTATGCCAGTACCATTTGTTGAAGATGCTTTCTTTTTTCCATTGTATAATTTTAGCTTCTTTGTTGAAGATCAGGTGTTCGTAGGTGTGTGGGTTAATATCAGGGTGTTCAATTCGATTCCATTGGTCTGCCTGTCTATTTTTGTGCCAATACCAAGCTGTTTTCAGGACTACTGCTCTATAATAGAGCTTGAAGTCAGGGATGGTGATGCCTCCAGATGTTGCTTTATTGAATAAGGTTGTTTTGGCTAACCTGGGTCTTTTGTTTTTCCATACAAACTTGATTATTGGTCTTTCAAGGTCTGTGAAGAATTGTACTGGTATTTCAATAGGGGATTGCATTGAATCTGTAGATTGCTTTTGGCAGGATTGCCAATTTTACTACATTGATCCTACCTATCCAAGAGCATGGGAGATCTTTGCATTTTCTGATGTCTTCTTTAATTTCTTTCTTTAAAGACTCAAAGTGCTTGTGATACAGGTCTTTCACTTGTTTGGTTAGCGTTACCCCAAGGTATTTTATGTTGTTTGTGGCAATTGTAAAGGGTGATGTTTCTCTGATTTCTTTCTCAGCCCTTTTATCATCTGTATATTGTAGGGCTACAGATTTTCTTGAGTTGATCTTGTATCCTGCCACTTTGCTGAAAGTATTTATCAGCTGTAGGAGTTCCCTGGTAGAGTTTTTTGGATCACTTATGTAAACTACCATATGATCTGCAAACAGTGAATGTTTGACCTCTTCCTTTCCAATTTGTATCACCTTGATCTTTTTGTTGTTGTATTGCTCTAGCTAGAACTTGAAGTACAATATTGAAGAGGTATGCAGAGAGTGGACAGCCTTGTCTTGTTCCTGATTTTTGCGGAATCACGTTGAGTTTATGTCCATTTAGTTTGATGTTGTCTATTGGTTTGCTGTATATAGCTTTTATTATTTTTAGGTATGTTGCTGTTACCCTGGATCTCTCCAAGACCTTTATCATGAAGGGGTGTTGGATTTTGTCTAAGGCTTTTTCTGCATCTAGTGAGATGATTATGTGATTTTTTGTTTCTCGGCTTGTTCATATAGTAGATTACATTGATGGATTTTCGTATGTTGAATCATCCCTGCATCCCTGGGATGAAACCTACTTGGTCATCGTGGATGAGGTTTCTGATGTGTTCTTGGATCTGATTTGCCAGTATTTTATTGAGTATTTTTGCATCAATGTTCATGAGGGATACTGGTTTGAGGTTCTCTTTCTTAGTTTTGTCTTTGTGTGGCTTGGGGATCAAGGTTATTGAAGTCTCATAGAAAGAGTTTGGCAAAGACCCTTCTGCTTCTATTGCGTGGAATACTTTTAGAAGAATTGGTATAAGCTGGCCTTTGAATTTCTGGTAGAATTCTGCACTGAGGCCATCTGGACCTGGGCTTCTCTTGGTTGGGAGACTTTTGATGACTGCTTCTATTTCCATAGGTGTTATAGATCTATTTAAATTGCTTATATGTTCTTGATTTAATTTTGGCAAGTGATAGCTATCCAGAAAATTGTCCATTTCCTTTAAATTTTTGAATATTGTGGAGTACAGCTTTTCAAAGTATGACATGATTCTGGATTTCCTCAGTGTCCGTTGTTATGTCCCCCTTTTGGTTTCTCATTTTGTAAATTTGCATGTTCACACTCTGCCATTTGGTAAGTTTGGATAAAGGTTTGTCTATCTTGTTTTCAGGCACCTTTCTTAAAGGCTGTCATTCAGTTGTCCCAGTAGTACTCAGGGCTTATGTCCATTGTTCTTTTCAGCAGGTCAACTGTTATCTGTGACTCTGCCTCAGAGGGCTTTGTTTCAAACTCACAAGACTGCAAAGAAAGCAGATGCTCAAACTCAGGTCCCCTGTGTCTCAGAAACTTCAGATTTTCTTCAGAATATGGGAGGTGAAGGTAAAATAGTTTGTGGAAGGTTCACTCCCATAAGTTGAAGAGAAGTTTGGTCTACTTTTTAAGGGAAGTTTCTGAAGGTAGAAGATTTTTGTGTTGCTCTCCAGTGTCAACGCGACCTGCTGTTGGAACACTAGCTATTAGATTAGTATCGATTTCACTCAGTGTATGGATCCAACAGCCACTGGTGTAGAACTTTACATCTATCTATTGGAAACAGCCATCTGTGTTTAAACAAAGAGGGCCATGGTAAGGAATATGCAAGCCTGAGCTTAAGAGCATGAATTTTAGCTAATTTTAAGCTCGTGGCTTCATCTTTCACTGAAAAGTGACCTCCCTACGAGGCTTAGTTTTTCTCTATGTAATATGTAAAGGTAGAAGGAAATTATAATTTATAGTGTTAGAATTTGTACCTTGTGGTGATGTGTTGTTTATGATCTGATAAAGCCGCTGAAGATCAGTTTGCAAAGACAGCCACACTAGTTAGCTGTAGAAAATAGACGATGGTGACACACACCTTTAATCCCGGGATTCAGACAGGCAGATGGATCTCTCAGAGTCCCAGGCCACCATGACCTACACAAGATTCAAGAGTAACAGAGCTCATGCCTTTAATCCTAGCTCTAGGGAGGTTGGAGACAGGAGTGATATTGCTGGGTGGAGAAAGGAATAAAAGGAGGAGACAGGAATTCAGAGCCTTTTGCCTATGAGGATTTGTGGACTTTGAAGTAAGACTCAGGCTCCCATTTCCTTATCTCTACAGGGGAAATATTGGTGGATCACCTACTGTGTATGCCACATAGATAGCACTTGGTAGGATATAAAGACGGGCAGCTTTGGTCCGAATGTTTTATCTAGTTCAGAGGGACTGTCAGAAAATAAGCCACCAGGGCATAGGTACTGTTATGAGTGTAATCAAGTTGCTGTTTTACAGGAGATGAAAATGGGTGGTGGCAATTAGGAAGATTATTGAGGGGAACTTCTGATGAAAATGCCACTTAGTCACTTGCCATAAATTACAGGGTATGCATTCTGGGCAGAGGAAACACCAAGTATATAGATGAAAAATCATAGCAAGATACTCTGATGCAGGGGACGGCCAGGTAGGGAACGAAGGGAAGACAATGGCAGGGGCTGCCACATCCTGAAGGGATTGGTGTGACTTTTAAAACTAAATTTGAGGAAGGTTTTTGTGTGGCGGAATATTTGTACATTGTCAAACTGTCTTTGCCACGGTGCCTTGGTTTGACTAAGAGCTAAACAGGAGGTACAGGTGAGATTCCCAGGAAGAGAAAGAGGAGGAGGAATCTAGGCACGGAGGAGAAGCCAGGAGACAGAGACATAGATGGAAGACCAGTAACACCATAAGATAGAACGTAGATTAATATAAATGGGTTAATTTAAGTTATAAGAGCTAGTTAGGAACAAGCCTAAGCTATAGACCGAACCTTCATAATTAATAAATCTCTGAGTCATTATTGGGGAGCTGGCTGGCAGGACAGGAAAAGACTCCTTTTGTAGAAGGGGGGGAGTAGAGGCAGCAGAGGCAGCTGAGACCAGAGGCCCTGAGGACAAGATTTCAGTAATGCTTTTGAGAAATGATCCTGGCTTTTATATGAAGGCAGGTAAAAAAGTGGGCTTAGGAGGTAAGAAGGGAAGCAAAGACAAACTTAGCTTTCATTGTTTAAGATGAGCACTTGGGTATGTTAATAGGAGATGGGGTGTAAATTGTTAGATGCATAGGTAAAACTGGTTTAATTTTTGAAAGAGTTTTTATGTTATTCCTTAGAATGGGATATTATCTTAGGGTTTCTATTGCTGTGAAGAGACACCATGACCATGGCAGTTCTTACAAAGGAAAACATTTAATTGGGCTGGCTTAAAGTTCAGAGGTTTAGTCCATTGTCATCACGGTAGGAAGCATGGCAGTGGGCAGGAAGACATGGTGCTGGAGAAGGAGCTGAGTGTTCTACATCTTGATCCATAGACAACAGGAAGTGAACTGAACCCAGCATAATTTGAATATAGGAGACCTCAAAGCCTGCCCCACAGACACACACTTCCTCCAACAAGACCACACCTATTTCAACAAGGCTACTCCCCATGAGCTTATGGGGGCCAATTACATTCAAACTACCACAGGGTATGATAGATAAACCTAACTGTGCTATGAAACAGATGTAATACATGTGCTTAGAATTCAGAATGGAGAACCACTATAGAACTATCTGTACTTCTACTGGAGTTAAGCCTAAGGGATCTGAGTCAACCTTACCACAGAGACACCCAAATATCCATGTTTACTGTTTCACTATTCACAAGCCTAGATGCCCATCTAGCACATGAGTCGATAAAACTTCAGTCATCTGTAAAAATGAATGAAATTGTCTTTTATCGGAGAATAGGTAGAACTAGAAGCCATCCCATTGAGTCAGACTCAGAAACTGGAACATGGTTTCTTTCTTACATGGATTTCATCTTTTTGTATAGTACTTATGTGTGTATACATGTTAGATACATATATGCACATGTACACCTTGAAAATAGAGGTACTCTGAAACTAGAGACTGAAAGAAAAGGGAAAATCAGGGACTAACAGAGGTGACAGATTACAAATCAAATTTTGTCCTGTGTGCTAGTTTAAGTATATGTGTAGATGTATACACACATGCACACATACATGTGACATGAAAGCAACAGGCACATTTTTGAGGAGGACAAGGTTGGGAATATGGATAAGGAGTAGTAAGAGGTTAAATATAGATAAAATATAACTATATGTGCAAAACTGCCATATTTTTGTGACATAGAACTCACGATTTTATAAGCTAGCTAAAAAATTTTAAAAAATAGAATGATGTTTTATATAGCACAAGGGCTCTGTTAGAGAGTGCCAACAATAATAGGATCATTGTTGTTCTTGCTGAGTAGAAAGTTCTCAGTGGGGAGGTCCAGACAGAAATTAAATATGGGGGCAACTAAAGGGGAAAGTGTTGGCTTGGGAGTGTGGATTTGAGTGCATCAGTCATAGCTGGAGCAGCAGACAAGCTGTGTAGGGTGAGTTCATGGTGAGGGAAGAGAATGAGAGGCCAAGCTGAAGCCCCAGTGAAGACTAGTCTTGAAAAGCACCTAAGAAATAGGACCCAGAGAAGGAATAACCAGACATCTAGGGGGAACTAGCTGAGGGCCTACTATTTATTCAGAGTATTGCTGAAGTCAGCTTGGGCACTGGAGATCAATTCCACTAATGTGCCTGAAGATCGATCAGGATAAACTGAAGTCGGCTGTGTCAGCTGTGAAGAGTCTTAATTGTTCATAGCAAAAATGGTATTTAAACACTTCTCTGGCACAGGCACGGAGACAGGTGTTTTCTCTCAGAGCTGACACCATAGGCATGGTGTGGTAAAATCATGACAAAACTGGAATCTTTACTGGTTTTCTCACAGGGTTCTGCATCCAAAACTGCCACCATCCCAGGAAAGAACATTTCCAAGCCAGACACCTGCAGCCTGAGAAAAACACCAGGTCTGAAGGCCAAAGTGGGGCCTGCTGTTTCCTGCCTGAGAAGGAAGAGTGACAGTAGAACCCTAGGCTCCGACAGGGCCGTATCGCCTCAGAGGATCAGGCGTGTGTCCAGCTCTGGTAAGAATAAAGTAACTCAACTATGTTATGCAATACTCTATGGATGATTTGCATGTAAAATTGGGCTTGGCAGAAAGCAGAAAGACCATCTGGCTTTTAGAACTAATGCATGATGTCACTAAAGCAGCTACTGTTTGTGTTTTTGTGGTCCAACAGCCTGCTCAAGAAATATGGGGAGTCCGTGGAGACAACGCAACCCTTAACTTTGAGCGGTGCAAAGCTTCTTTGGGGAGTGACTGATGTGCATAAACTTCCAGGCTACTCAGAAGTGTGTGTGTGTGTGTGTGTGTGTGTGTGTGTGTGTGTGTGTGTGTGTGTGTGTTACTGTGCAGTTGGCTAACTGTTGCAAACATTGTGATAATCTTGGTTGTCAGTCTGATACATCTGGTAAGAAGTAACCTCAACTAAGGAATTGCTTTCGTCAGATTGGCTGGAGGACATGTCTATGGTGCATTTTCTTGGTGACTAATTAATGTATTAATGTAGGAGGAACCAGAACACTATGGGCAAACTGAGGCAGGAAGCAAACCAGTAAGCAGCATTCCTCTATGGTCTCTGCTTCAGTTCCTGCCACGACTTCCCTCAGTTACGAACTGTGACCTCAAGTTTAAGACTGTCTCTCAACAAAAATGGGGTGAGGGCATGTAAGATGACTCAGGGTGCTGACTTCCAAGCCTGAAGACCCAAGTTGATCTGAGGGTCCCACAGAGTAGAGAGAAACCAGCTTGCACAAATTGTCCTCTGATCTCTACACACAAACTCGAGCATGCGTGGTCTCTTTCTCACATACATTCAATAAATGAATGTAATAAAAATTTAACATGGCCAAGTGCTTAACATGCTGGAATGCTTTCTGAAGGCTCATAATATGCCCCCATCACATATGAAGAGACTTTTTCCCCCTTGAATTTTACTGAAAAGACCATACAGGGATAGGAGAGCAGCTAAAAAGTGAAACTTTTCTAATGTGAACTTTAATTTACTTTGGCTTGGCTTCTAGAAGTTCTAGTCGGATTAGGCTGAAATTTGATAGCACCAAGAATGGCCTTACTGAATTTGGCAGATGTACAGATTGCTCTGTGTTGGGAGCTGGAACAGCAAACCAAAATTCACCCCTTTCTGAGACTAAGACTAAGAGCCTGCTTAGTCACCTAGTGGGCTGAGAGCATTTCGTGGAGAGAACCCCTTATTTCTGCAGGTACAGCCTTGAGTAAATTAAAGGCATGTCAGATAGATCCCTCATAAAAATACTGACTGCTATTGAATGCTTAAAAAATGTGATGTGTCCCCACATGTGAGAACGCTTTATAGAATCTATAAAACCAGCTGGGTCCCAGACGACCTCTTTACTGCACGGCAACTCAGCTTTTTTACAATTGATTGGCCTGTTCCGTCTCAAAGCTGCTGGTGTGGGGTGCCTGCTGTGCTTGAACATGTGCTGTTTAGACTCTTGGGAGAAGACGGATTTGCCACTTGTTTCCATCTGCAGGGGGAACCGAATGAACAGAGAAATGTGTCCCCATCACGTGTTCATCATGGGGAGGAAACTAGAAGCTAAAACGGGGGGGGCAGTGGCCTTTGTTTTCTGTCACCAGTTGGGAGTCAACTGAGTTCTGGTCCTTGTCCTGCTGCCTGGTGGGGCTCTTGGTCTTTGCCAGGGGCTGGAGAGCTCCCTTCCTGCTTCAATATTTGGAGCACCTAGTACTTGGTGCTGTGTGGCGCTCTGGTCACTGGCTCCCTGGCCTGTACTTAGGGCTCTGTGTTCTGGTTTCATTCTGTCACCACTGAGCTTCCAGGCCTGCCTGGCAAGCATTTCCCTCCCGTGGCATGGACACTTGTCAAGTGTAGGGTTTCAGAATCTTAGGCTCCAACAGCTTTTGTAGTCTTGTTTTTCTAGGGATGATATGGATCTCTCTTAGATTTCTGAGAAAATGTGTGATTATGGGAGCAATGTCATGTTGGCCTACTTAGGCACACTTGCCTTTTAGGAGTCAGGTCCCTGCTGGGTTCTGTTTAAACAGATGGAATTCTTTATGAAGCTGATCAGTCCTTTTAAAAGTCCCTTTACCATGTGTTATGCATATTGTGTCTTAAGAAAAATGTGGACATGGTTAGTCTAACGATTTACTTAATTTTATTTTATGTAGGTGCTGGGAACTGAACCCAGGTGAACTTGGTTAGAGTTAAAACACTAAATTATAGCTAATATATTAATGTTAATATTAATAAATATCAATAATATAAAGGGTTTATTAATAATATTAATAACTTATTATATATTATGTTTTTGCGACAAGGTTTCACTCTGTTTCCCTGGCTGATCTGGAACTTGCTGTGTACCTCAAGCAGTCTCTGAACATGAGGCAATTCTCCTGTCTCCGCATTGAGTACTTAGGGTACAGGCATGTGACACCATGCCCAGATACTTGGCAATTTTCTACAAGCAGATATAAGAAAATAGAATGTAACTAAAACCACTATGGGTTTTGAGTTTCGTTTTATCTTTGTATGATAAGAAGACTTCTGAGGACTGAATGTTTGTGCCACCCCAAATTTAAATGTGGAAGCTCTAACTCCGGAGCTAGGACCTGTGAGGAATCACACAAGTGGAACCATAAAGATGAGACCCTAGTCTAAACCGACTTAGAGGAAGAGGAGGAAATACCGGAGCTGTAGCCTGGCCTTATGAGGCACTAGAGAAAAAGGCTGTCTTGAATCCAGGAAGAGACTCTTGCTAGGAGCAATTTAACTAAGACCTTGGCCTTATGGGACACCTCAGCTGCTAGAAATAAGAGGAAATAAACTCCTGTTGCTTGCTTGGGTCAGGCAGTCTGGAGTGTTTGTTCTGGCTAGCTGAGGAAAGAAAGACTAACGGTTGCACAGGATTCTGTTTAAAAATTGGTGACTACAGCTGGTTTGGAGAGTTACCATAAATTGAGAGGTGTTTGTTGTGGAGAGTAGGAAATGTAATACAGCTGAATCCAAGGTAGAACAGAAACTCCAGGGGCAAGAACAGTGCGCCTTTAGATGGTTGAGAGCCTTTGCCCTTTGCTGTACAATGAAGTGTTTGTGTGTTTGCCCACTGAAACCAAATGGACACCCCTGTCATCTTCCACACTTACGGATGGGAAGGTGAGGGGCAGCGGTGTGCCAGGCAACGCGGGGATTTCAATGACTCCTTTCAGAAAGCTCAGCAGAAAGTCAGACCCAGAGTCAAAACAGCACCTTAAAAAAAGTGTTTGAGTGTGAGAATGGATACAGTTAAAACCATTGGGGGACCCCATTTCACTTGCCAAATGTGGAAACTTGCTTATGATGCCAGAAGACAAGTCAAGCCCAAGCACTCTCACTTCTTCCGAGGGTGGCTTTTGTTGTTGTTGGTACTGGGATTGAACCCAACACGCCGGCCCGGCCTTGAGCATGAGCTCCACCACTGGACCAGATCCCCAGCTCCGTTTTGTTTTCTTTTGGTAATGAGCTCAATTAAGTATGATTAGATAATGATGGAAAATTTCATAACAAGTAACATAATGCTGACGACAATCAGCTCCCTCAATGAAATGTGTGCCAGTCTCTGAGCCTCTAACCTCATCATTTCACCTCTGAGTTTGCTTAACCCTTACACTGATTTGCTGAGGCTCATTTCCAACTTGTAAACTAGGAAGCTGACACTGCTAAGTTAAATGACATAAAGGTTTTGCATCTGGGAAGGGCAGAGGTAGGACTCAAACCAGGTGCTGGGGGCCCAGAGTCTGAGGTCTTAGCCTGACATTGTCACTCTAAAGGAGCACATGCCTTTAATCCCAGCACTGAGGAGGCAAAGCTAGGCAGATCTCTGTGAGTCTGAGGCCAGCCTGGTCTACAAACTGAGAACAGGCTCCAACACTACAGAGAGAAGCCCTGTCTCAAGAAACAAAAACAATAAAAAAGAAGCACCATTGGACCCTCAGTTTTGAAAAACTTAAAAATTGTTTGTCCCCAGCTCAATGGTTTACAGAGATTCACTCGCTAGTCCACTTAGTTTGGACTGATTTGGGCTACTAAGGCTGCACTTCTCTGGGTAGTTCCCTCAGAGTCCGACCCGAAGCAGGTGCGGCGACAGAAGCAGGATGGGACACCCTCTCTGTCCTCCACCTGTGTTTGAGCTGGGAAAGCCTGGTTTATCCTCCTGCCCCAACCAAAAGCCACCCAAAGGGCTGCCCAGGGTTAATGAGGCCTTGAAGTGAATCAGGGCTGCACGCAGGAGACAGCTTTTAGTTTTACTCTAGAGAAAGAAGTAGCATTTGGGGAAAGTAAGCCTTCATTTTTATTTGGCTTACGTGGCTTAGTGCATGTGTCCCGTTTGAGATGGCAGTCCATCCAGAACTTGTCATGGCTGACCTGTTGTGGATTTTTCTTCTTTCTCATTCATTTGTACGGCTTCTTGGTTTGTGTGAACATATTTTTTCAATTATTCCGCATTTAAAGTCTTTAAAAATTTTATAGTATTTTCTGAGTTTGAGAGAGGCAGTAAAAGTAGAAATTTTCTCATGTTCATTAGTTATTAAAATTAGAAATTATCACTGCTAACAGTCTTATTATATATATTTTGTAAGTAACTGGAACACACATGTTACGAGTGTGTCCTGGGACTTCTACTGCGATAGTAATCATAGCTGATGAACTCAAGAGTGTTAATGATGTGGCAGGTATTATCCTAAGCTTTCTTGTGTGTTTGCTCACAACTCATGAGGGGTATTTTTTCCCCTAGTCTCCACAGGAGTGTTAGAGGCTTTGCAAGCTCAAATAACTACCAAAATTGCACAGCTGATAATGAACAGAGACTAGGATGGCCCACACTGATATCACCTTCAAAAGTTGGTTGTCAGGCCTTGTTCCTTCCACGTATAAGTGCATTAAAAGGTATATAAATCTGATGAATGTTTATTTGGGCTGGTACCTGTGCTTAGTGTGAGAGATAAAGAAGTAAAAAAGAAAACAAATGACCAAAGCCAGGTGGA